CTTTATAATAATATTGTTATTTAAGCAATTTTTCTGAAGGCTATATAACAATAGTATTTTATAAGGGTTTTATTATTATCGCAATTACTTCAGATATACCGACACCCACGCCACCTAGCACCATGATCTGAAAACAGATATACATGATTCAGAACAGGCGATGCGACGTTGTCAAACTGAATATATTATCTTCAAGTATCCAGAATATTTATTTGAAATTCAATAAGAATTATTAAGGGTTGATTATGATCGAATGCCCTAGACAAATACGTAAACACATGAACCGTTACAAGTTACTGTCTATATTAGGTAGGTACTGTAACCCTGCTAGTAAACCACAGTGAACTAAAAATTAAAATACAGAGAAGGTATAATCTATATACCTACCTATTTAATTTAATTCAATTAAAAACTTGTTGGAATTGTTACGGTGTGGCCAAAAACTCTAATCAAGTAGGTACCTATGACTATTTTCTCCCAATTTTAAATTCCAACTTTTTTGATTCAATTCTGTCGGCCACGAGTTTTAAGTATGATTTTTTAAAGATGAAGTTCGAAAGTTACTAGTAACTTTTGATTTTAATCCATACAAAATTGATAATATATAAAGGTACACGTTTGTTCTTGACATTGGCAACATTGCAATGTCTGGAATATTATAATAGTTTTACGCTATGTCATTTTAGATAATAGAGAGATATCGGTAACCCAAATAGGTTCATGCAGTATTAGCGCCTACGTTATTTTGACATTAAACCTATGCGCGATTCGATTTTTAACACTACGTACTAAAATAACGTTACCGCATAACGTAATTTACCCAGCATTTACGTTAAGCGCTATTTCGAATAACGTTTAAAAATAACGCCGTGGAATAATAGGTTATGTTATGTTTATTGTTTATTTTATTATTTTTGATGTGCTCAAGTGAATATGGATTGTTCAAAAAATAGTAAAAAAGCAAATCCTCTGTCCCTGACTATGAACAACACACAACACAAATCAAATCACAACAAGGTACAAGTTAGGCTACGGTTATAAAATAACGAATGCGAATAGGGAAATTTTACGTTAAACTGTATTCCGATAACTCTTATTTGAAAGTATGATACCGCTTTACTTTAAAAAAATAACTCCCGACGTTATTACCGTCCATATGCGCTATCTGTTTCACCGATATCTCTCTAATAAAATACAAATGTTTTATGGAACTGCATTATAAAACACGTTATAAATCAAATATGTTTTATAAATATCAAATTTGTTTATTAAACATTTTCTTGGCGATAGAAATAATATATTAGTCGACGCCATGTTTTCACGTTTAATTTCACTTAGTCCTATGTCGGCCATTTTATCGTATCCAAAATAAATTAAATAAAATAATATAATTTAGAAAATTGTCGTTACTAAAAGAATAAAATCAGTTCACAATGACATAGGACTTGACATAATGTCGATTTTCAACTTCACGGATGATTATTGGAGACTTTCGTGAAATTTAAATATTTTTTGTAACTGTAAAACCTTGTTAAAATTGAAGCGCGTTAAAATATCTCCAAAAAATAACCCCCAATTGATCAGTAAAATTTGCTTCGCAGTAAGATTTGAGTGTTTGAACGGTATTTAGGTGGGCTATATATTTTTCCTGATTTACCCATGCATTCCTAGCAACATTTCGCCATATTCGTAATCTATAAAAGCAGAGAAGGTTGGACAACCATTTAAAAATCAGTTTTGTATTCAGCATTATGAAAATACGATAAAATATTTTTATTAAACTGTTTTAAGTATGCTATAAAATATTATTTTATAAATGTTTTATTAGTAATTTCAACTACAGCTACAAAATTTCCAAATAATATTTATAAAGCTGTTTTATACAAAGGTTCACAAAAGACACAATTGCTATATAGGTGAATTTATCTCCTAACTTATAAACCTCTTATAAAACTGTTTCATAACGATTTTATAAAGCACTTCATAATATTTTGTAAATGCTATTCGCGATCCTGAAACAACTTTAAAACAATAATAATATTTTATAAACCTGTGCCTTTTTCATACTTATAGGCGTCATATAAGCGATTACAACCCAACTAAGAAATATCGCAGTTATATAGTAAGATGTTTTATAGCAATGTACATGATCCTAATAAGCACATTTGTGCTACTTGGGTAATTTCTTCGAAATTATTAGAGGTACCCCCGTATAAACCATTGATATGGTTCTGAATTAAAAGATTCGAATTATTAAAACATTCACACAAGGTATCCCATGCTATTTTATAATTTGTGGAAGAAAATTCAATTATGGCCGTTTCCACCAACGCAAATTTAAGTTTACTTAACGTTAAGTGCCGCTTACATTATATTTTTTTTCCACCAGTCTAACCTTGTCTCATTAAAATAAGCTTAACTAAGCCCAAACATTTCTAGGCTTATTCCTCCCTTAACAAAGTGGCGATGATAAGCGTAAGCCATTTGCATAATATGTTTTTGTTGACATAACAAACGTTGAAATTGAATTGAGATAAAATTAGAATTTTCTCAATTTTCTAATTTTTGGTGTGGTTCGCGTTTTTTTTTCTCCTAAAGCCTATTTTTTTCGGCCAGAGATACTGCGTCTTTTTTTTTAATTTTCGATCATGTTCTTATTTTTTGATGTTAGCGATATTATCAGCTCTTTCTCCTTTATTGTATAATTTGGTGTCCGGCTTTTTTTGGATAAACTGTCCCTGTTTGTTTCTATTCCCCGACTCCACGCTGCTGTAGGCACCTTCGTGCTCGTTCACACACAATGCAGGATAAACTACCAATATCTAAACCTCCTCTCTGTGGAATAAACCGAACCCGGACAACAACAACAACTATCTATTAATAATTATAATCTTATGAAAATTAGCGGGAAGCGACGAATGACAGATAACATTGACACGACTAGTGTAAAAACGAAAAGTACGCAAATATTTCACCTGAAATGCAATGTTGCCAAAGCTTTACGACACTTAGCTAAGCTTGCACTTAAAAACTATGGTGGAACGAAACTATATTTGAGCGACCCTTAACTTTTAAGGGCTTCATAGTTAAGTAAAGCTTAGTTATAGTTTGGTGGAAATGGCCATTAGGCAATTTAATCCATCTGTCAAAAGGGAAAATTCAATATGGCGTGGCGGCCAAGCAAGCTTGTTTTGAATATGTTTTTATGTGTATTTTAAATTATTTTGCTTAGAGTTTTGCTTGTAACTTTGATTTTGATCATTTAATACGATATTTGTTGACTAGGTACCTAAACTATTAAATCGGACAGAAACTAGATATTTTTTTGTGTTTTTAGGCCCATGTGTGGCCGCCACGCCATCTTGAGTGTCACGTGGTTTGAATTGCCTAATTAGGCAATCTCAATCACGTGATTTTATAATGGCCGTTCGGGTCAAATATTCCCGTGACAAGGGTGACAAGCTGGTGACGTTCATAAGGAGAGCATTTGTGCACATTTGTGTTCTGACCCTTGTTGCTTTCCTGTTGCTTTCGAAGTGCATTTTATAGTCTTTGGTGTTTCTACGTATTTTTTATTGGTTTGGCCATTGTTATTTTCACAATGAATTTTATAGTCTTTAGTATTTCAACGTATTTTTTAGTGTTCTGGCCCTGGTTGTTTTCAAAGTGATATTTATAGTGTTTATAGTGTTTCTACGTATTTTTTAATTTATTGATAAATTCTGAGATGGAGAGTGAATATTTTAAGGTATTATAATTAAGGGAAAATCGAGCCTCTGTTAGATCCTTTCTTTTAATTGCAGCAATCCATAAAGCCCTGCGCTGCCAATAATTTAAAATAGTAGGAACTGAATAAAATTTCACATTTTTCCTGTTACCTCGACTTCGACACCCCATTACGATGCAAATCGCTGGCATTTTAATTAACACAATACCTAAACACACAAAAAAATACAAAATCAGATAATTCAAATCTGGACGTTTGTCCAGAATGCGTGACAGAATCAATGACATACAGAATAAATAATACTGCTTGACCCAATGCTTGACCTGAACTTCCATATTGAATTTCGTTTTTGACAGGTCAGTAGATTGCCTAATTGCTTGAATTACCTGTGTGGCGGAACCAGTTAAAGAAGCTCTAAGGTAATGAAATATTTGAATGCTGCTCAAATTTGAATTGTCATGTATCAAAGATTCGAAAATGTCACGAAATTCTAACCACGTTTGAAAGGAGCCGTCAAATTTGGGTAATTTAATTTCTGGAAGCTTAAAGAAGCCTGACTTTGAATTGGAATTCCTGCCACTCTTTGAGACTACGGAATTATTCACATTACTTGCTCTCACACTACCTGTCTCCGAAGATGATTCAAATTGTTCGATTATTGCCTTTCCTCGTCCTAATACTTCAAAATACTTATTCATGAACTCTTCGCGTTTTAGTTCTTCAGCTGTAAGATCAGAAATGGCGACAGTAAATTCTATTTCGGTCTGAACGTTATCAAAGTGGGAAGTTGGAACGTAAGGGCTCAAAATCTTGAGTTCGTTCGTTCAACTCAATTATTTTACTACGATCTAAAGTCTGAGAACCTGCGGCTTCCTGCACGCTTTCAACAGATCTAATAAACTTCTCGAAACTGGTCAATTTTGATTTAATAGTTGCCCGTTTTCTTATTAAGGCTTTTAGTTGAAATGAACTTTCAGATTCGTTTTCAGACATGATAATAAATGACAAATGTAAATTATACCAACAATGAAAATCTTAATTCAAATAAACCTCACTTGGTAAAGAGCTCAAACCACAATAAAGAAATCGGATTAATGATTATAATAATAATATTCAAAATGTGTAGATACTGTCGTAAATTATTGATGTACTGAGTTTCTATAATGATTAAACAAATAAAAATCTCTATTCGCATGAAAAATTGAGAAAACGGGAATAAAGGAGATAGGACTCACCCTGCCCCACTTTTTACTTCTGACTGATGGTATTGTTGCTATATATCTTGCAACTGCACACGATTTTTTAATTGCTGAACTTCACCACAAGTCCATCCAATGACTTTCAATGATTTTTCGTATTTCTTCGTCGTATTTTCAATGATTTTTCGTATTTCTTCGTCGTATTTTCGCCTAGTATCCGGCTCGAAGGACCATGTATCGTGTAATGGACTGCTTAAATAAATTTCTGTTCTCGTAATTTCATAAAATATAATTTATTCTTCCACAGAAGTTTCTGCGTGCGTGCAAAATTATTTTACAATACAAACAATTATTATTTTTAAAAACAGACGAATAATAACAATAGGTGATAATAATCGTAACTATGATAAAGAAATTAGGTTTCTTGATAATAATGTCATCAGGTGCTTGCTGGTGGAAATATGGTTGTGTAACAGGCCACCAAACAATTTCTAATAATCTACCTGCTAAATTTAACAAATTCAAGTTTCGATAATTTTAATATTTGTCATTCAATATATTCTAATATTTTCATCCCTATTATGGTTTAAAATTAACCGGAAAGCTTGCCGACTTGCCCAGAGTTCTTTTAGAATTGATACCAACCCACCAGATTGAGTCAATCAATAAAAATATTATTCTATTCATCCGGCATTTTATATGTGAAAGTTGGGAAGGTCCTAATTCTAAGAAGTTCCAATTCCGCTTGTAAAACTAATATTTCATTATGATTTTCTTGCACTCTTCGAACAAGTCGATTTTTTTGGAGCAGACAATTCATTCTGAACAAATTATAGGCATAGTGTATATTATTAGATTAAAATTAAATAATCTCATCTTACCTTGCTTGAAGAATTTCTCTTTCCTTTGCCTCAACCTCATAATCTTTCTCAAGCCTATAAGAAGAAATTTGAATATTCACATCTTTAATTTTTGTATCCAATTCCTTATTGCTCTCTTTATACATTTCCAACTGTTGGTCCAGCTTGTGAGCCTTTTCTTTTTTATCTTTAATTTCATTTCCATAAACAATCGAGAGCAATTCCATTTCTAGCTCGTAGGATTCCACATTGGCTTGACGACCCTCTGTTTTGTGTTTTAAATAATCTTGCATTTGTTTTGTAAACTAGAAAATACAATTTCTGTTATTTCAATAGAATATTTCTCAATGTATATTTTTTTACTTTAACAGCTTCAATATCCTTTATCTCTTCTATATAATCGTTGATAAGCATTCGCAGTTTCATGTGTTTCCATTCAGTAACCATTACTGTTCGTCGAAATTTCATATTCTGTTGAATTGTTTTCAATTTTAATTTACCTGCTTTCTAGAATGAATTAAATTTTACTGGATTTTGTCCAAAAATTTAAATATTCTTACCACAATAAGACTATTTACATAATAGATCTCTGATTTCGGTAACAAAATAGCATCAACAAAGTCGGTATACAAATCTCCTGTCAATGGAATTTCTACCAACCCTTTGCTCAAAACAAATTGAACTTGGTTGTTGTGAAGTAAAGTAAGTCTATCAGCTCTAGTCTGATCTAATTCAGCATTCAGCAAGACGATAATTTCTTTTTCTGATGCGACACGTTTTTGGTACGTTGCTATTGTAGCTTCGCCTTCAAGTATTTGGATTTGAGCGGCTTTCAGCTAAAATAATGTAATCACTATTGCAAAAATATTGTTAGTGCGAAAGCTCTTAAAATTTTCAAAATTGCCGTTAGACAGTGCTCACACAACATCGGTCAAAATTATTTTCTTATCGGGTATGCTGAATAGTCCCCAGTACATCGGCCTTTGGATTGTGTAACTCATGTACATGCCAAACTTCCTGGTAGTCGATTCTCGAATTGAGAGATCACATCGCACGCTCGTTCTCTTGGTGCCAAAGTTGGTATTCTCGAACGTATGGGATTATGATAGAATGAAAGAAAACTTGTCAAATCATAATGCGTTGTTGCTAACAGTAATATGTAGAATTAGCCACAATTTTAGTGTGTTAAAAGGACGAATGTCATGAGAAATAAGAAAATCAGTTTGTTTTATTCGTTTTATTTTATTTGTGTTTTAGGACGTAACCTCATTCTTTGCTTATTTATTTAATGAAAATCAAATCATAATCATTCTATTTACAATTTTTATTTTCGTGTTGTTTTGTTTATGTGGAAAATGAATTTGGAAAAATCAAGATGTTCACCTATAAATCATAGGTACTCAAAAAGAAATGCTCATTGAATTTGTAAGGCAAAATGAGAAACTTCAAAGTGGAAATTTACCTCCGATTTTTCCACAGTTTTTAATGATGAAGTTCTAGTTGGATCCCGTATAAAAGGTGTCAATAAATCAATTAAATTTCGAGGATCTTTGCTTAATCTAAATAGTTTTATAAATTTATTATCCGTTGAATCAAAGGGATTTTCTCTTATGTAAAATCCCCTTATAGACCATCAGCCAATGACATATTTTGCTGACCGATTTTCTCTCTTTGGGGATTTCAACCACTGAAAAATGTCAGTGCTGAGCTCAAAAAATGAAAATTTAGCGGCCGGACGTCTGCTAGGCATATGGAAAATTAATTTTCCTCTTGCAGAATAAAATAGGTTATTTTTTCAATTTCTCTTTCATGGCATTTTAACACATTAACATTGAAGAACAATCTAATAGTGAAAAACCAAAGCCATAAGGTTTGCACATACTGAAAGGCTTGAAATAAGGGCACGATCTTGTGAAAGAATATTCGGTGGCTGATCGTTTTCTCGCTTATGGCAATCGACAGAATCAAATTTGATATCGGTAAGAACCAGGAAAAATTCCATAAGCCGGTCAGCTGTTGAGGTATATGTTACGTCCGCTGCAAAAGGAAAGAACATTTTCCATATGCCTAGCAGACGTTCGGTGGAATCTAATCTTTTTATGACGTCGCCTAAAAAATTTAATAACTATTGATTGACTAATCATCTAAATTATTTACCTTCATAATAAAGAAATATATCCAGATCAGCGTCATTGTTATCAAGGGCGGTTTGAAGAGGGGGTAGAGGGGGTAATTACCCCCCCCCCAGACAAAGATTTTTGTTTTTAAATTACACTTAAGGTAACTGAATACAATATCGCCATGCTAAGCTTTTTATTTTAATTTTTGAAAAGCGAAAGATTATATTATAAAAAATATAGGCTAAACTTATTGTTTAGGCTATATACTAATAGTCTAAAATCGTTTGGCAACATTCTTAATAAGCAAAAAAGATTTTTGATTTTTTTTAAAAATTTTGCAGATTGGCGATATTGTCACCCAGGGGCTAGCAATATCGCCATATTCATTTTTCAATTTGAAATAAATTTTTGGTATTCCAGAAAAAAAAAACTTGACTTTTGTTAAATATCCTTTATTAGAGCCATAACATGTAGTAAAAATACAAAAGTTAAGAACAGTAAGGGCACATGTATCCTTCTATCTTGTCTTCTTTGGTCCCCAGGCATTCATCGTGCAAATAACATTTGCATATAACACACAAGCGCATATCCGCGACTCGGTCTTCTTGGCATCCTTTGCAGTACCAACTTTCCGATTTTTTCTCTTCCATCTTTCCCTTTGGAATCTTTGGTGGATTTTTCTTTGACGTTTTGGCTACTGGCTCCAAAGTCTTGCCCCCGACTGTAGATTCTTTAAAAAGGTCTTTTGTAACAACTTGTGCTCTACTGTTAATTGCGGGATTTCTGCGTCGAGTATCATATTTGTGAGCCAATTCTGGTGTAGTGAGCATATCGGTAAATGAAATATCGTTCTCGTCAGTGCTCTCGGGGTTTTCACTAGTTTCGTTTTCAGATGAACTCTCAGACATCTCCAAGCTTTCTGCCTCAGAATCATCACTGCTACTAAATTTTTGCAGTTGACGTTTTGTGGGCTTTTTTGAATTATTGGACAACTTATTCTTAATGGTCAGTTTGGATGGACCTGGAGCCGTAATTGTCAGCTTGGCAGTTTTTGATGGACCTGGAATCGGTGACACATTTTCATTTTGTACTGGTGGCTCTACTGACATGGACGTTTTTGAAGGATAGAAGATTTCATTATGAATGACTTTGGCAGAAAGTCGACAAACAAAGTCACATAACCTATAAATAGCATTATCAATGTTATAAAATTTTTTTTTTTTCAATTTTGGGCTTAAATTTAATAATTATGGCAGTTTTTGGGAGAACGTGATATGTTTTATCGAGAGGCGATGAAGCGATGTGTGTTTGGTGATTGTAAAAGTGATAGCAGTGGCGGATCCAGGATTTTCTTCAGGGGGGGGGGGGAGGCGCAGGATTAGAATTATCAACAACGATTTCTTGAAAATTTACTTTTACTTTACTTATACGTTAAAGAATGTAGGTACAGGGTGGTCCAGTTTGGACACTTTTGATATCAAACGTCGATTTTTGAGCCAGATACAAAAAAATGAACCTCCCGCTCTGCTGACGCTCAAATCTCATGAAATCTTGATTGGTGCAAACACTGCAAACACTGCAAACCGCCTTTTGATACCCTCAACCGTTTTGCCGCTAGAGGATGTTTCTCGATTTTGAGCAATAAGGTGAAACCTCCCTAACTTTTTATTTATGAAAATAATTGATTCTTGTATAAACTTTGTAGAGGTACTTTTGCAATGTTTCAATCAAAAGGAACAATGTGTTAAAAGGAGACCTATCCTATTTTCCTTATAGATATAAAGTCCTCTTCTAACACATTGTTTCTTATAACAAAAACAGATATATTTTTTTTGCAGGAAAACCTCGAGAAAAACTGTTAGAGATAAACCGATCGAACTTTATGAAAGCAGCAAAAGCAGAGCTATCCAATCAGTTACATATTAATATACAGGGTGGGCCAATGGAAACTTTCCACTCCGATTTTTTGGATTCATAATGAAAATCTGGAAAAACGCTCGGACACGTCGATTTTTGATTTGAGGGGGAACTATTTTTCAGTTTTTTTCATCCCCCTAGCTTTAACCCCCTAGCTGCGAGGAAAACACCCTCCCAAATTTGAATAGGGGATAGGGGTCGTGTGATACCTCCTTTTAAAGGTCTCATTGAATTCTTTTAGGACCCTGGAATTTCGGGTTATTATTTTCATCCGTAACGAAATGTAAAAGCGATATTTACCTTCCCTAATAAAAATACTTACAATTTACAATTCAGGTGTACACCTGATTGATAATAATAATAAAACAACTTTAATTGTAAATATTTTCATCAAGGGAGGTGAGTAGTATAACTTTTACTCCTAAAACAATAGTCTATTTCCAAGATTTTGACAAGCTGTCATTTCGTTAAGGATGAAAATAATGAAACGAAATTCTAGGGTTATAAAGAACTTGATGAGACCTTTGAAAAAATTTATGACATGACTCCTATTTCCTATCCAAATTTGGGGGGTTGATCTCCCCCCAGCTTGGGGGATTGAAGCTACAGGGATGAAAAAAACTGAAAAATAGTTCCCCTTCGAATCAAAAATCGACTTATCTGAGCGTTCTTCCAGATTCTCATTTCAAATCCAAAAAATTGGAGTGGAAAGTTTCCATCGGCCCACCCTGCATAGGGTGTCCGGTGTCCCATCAAAATAATCGGATCGGTTAATATCTCGAATTCGAGAACAAATAGAAAAAACTGAGAAATTCACTGGATTCTCTAGCCGCAAAACGGTTCAAGATATCATAAAATTTGAGTCTCAGAGTAGGGGTTGGTTTTTTTGTATCTCGCTCAGAAATTGATGTTTTCTATCAAAAGTGTCCAAATTGAACAACCCGACAACCCTGCATATATCAAAAAACCGAAAATAACAAATGAAAATACCTATTCCAAATAAAGATATAACACAAAACAATAAATTGAACTATAGTGTAGCTTGGAAAATTTTCCAATAACATTTTGGAAAATTTTTCCATGAAGCAAAAAATTCTCCTAAAGTCTGTTTTTTTTTTAAAGATAATTCCCCAAGTCAAAAATTTAGTAACTATGTTTGCAACACAAGCCTTTTCTACATAAAAAATTTGAAAGCATTGACAATTTTACATTGTATTGCCAACACAATTTCATTTTGACTTTTATCTTTAAAAAAAAAACAGATTTTATACCTACTTAAAATTTTTCTATGATTTAAAAAAAATATATTAGTTTTTGAGGCTCTCAGGGGGGCGCGCGCCCCCCCCCCCTGTATCCGCCACTCCTGTCACATCACTTTCTATTAATTTTATCAAACGTTTCGCAACCAAAGAAGCCATAGCGAATGCACCGAATACTTACGAAAGCGTAGATTTGACAAGATGCTGTGTTACCTTAAACTGTGGGGTCGTTAATTTAATGGAACTCGTTCGACTATCACTTTTACAATCACCAAACACACATCGCTTCATCGCCTCTCGATAAAACATATCACGTTCTCCCAAAACTGCCATAATTATTAAATTTAAGCCCAAAATTGAAAAAATATTAATAACATTGACAATGCTATTTATAGGTTATGTGACTTTGTTTGTCGACTTTCTGCCAAAGTCATTCATAATGAAATCTTCTATTGGACAACTTATTCTTAATCGTCAGTTTCGATGGACCTGGAGCCGGTGTCTTATCTTCATTTTGAGCAGGTGGCTCTACTGGATTTTCAGTTACGCTGCTTGGTGCAAATGCCTCAACCGGTAAAATATCTGGGTTAAACGGGTAGATACCAGTCGCCGAAAACCCAGATTTAATATTGGCGGGGGTCATGGCCTTGTCCCAAACAATGGAAAAAATAAAGCCAAAACGTTGTTTTGTTAGAGAACGGTCTCTATGATTAGCCCAGTATTTGAGAACTTCATCATCCCAGTAGTGCTCAAAAGAGCGAAAGACTGCCTTGTTCATTGGTTGGAGCTCATGAGTTGTATTGCTTGGTAAGCAGTATAAGTTGATGCCTAGCTCTTCAGCGACAGTGACAATTGAATGGTCCAAATGACATCTAGCACCATCGAAGATTAAAAGACATGGTCCAGGAGCTTTGTACTTTGCAAAATGTTGAACCCATAGCTTGAAGGCTTCAATGGTCATGCTCCCCTTAGGTGTCATTAACGCTATGCTTCCTGGTGGTAAAGAATCGGACCATTCTTGTTTCATTCGCTTCCCCTTAAATAAGATTAACGGAGGGACTGTAGAACCCATAGCGTTCCCACAAGCGACTATTGTGACATTTTGCCCATGTTCATTTGCTACAAGATGCACTCGTTTGGCCCCCTTCTTTGCAAGAACAGCTTGTTGGTGATGAAGCGATAAGCGGCAACCTTTCTCATCCATATTATAAATACACTGAGGTTTATCTATAATATCAAGCTTAAACAGAATATTACGAAGTTTGGTAAAGTGGTCATTCACTATAAACCGGTTTAGTTTTTGCGCCCTGGCAGGGTTCATGCTCTGAGCCTTCCGCTTTCTAATTTCAGGATTACGGCTGAAAAATCCTTTAAGCCAGTATCGACCAGCCATTTTTTTTTCTTCATTAAACGGGTGGCTTATGTGTTTTGCATCGCAAAAATTAAAAACGCATCTACGCAATACTTTAGAAGTTAGCGGATATCCTACTTCTGCCAATCGAATGATTCTTGTACACAATTCTTGTTCTTGTTCTTTAGTGAGAACAGGCTTGCGACCCAAGCCACATTTTGATGTTTCATTTTTTCGTAAATAATCTCTCAGCGTTCCACGAGGTACGTTGAATGTCTTACTCGCTAAATTTTTGGACATGCCATTTTCAACTGAAGCAATAGCATTCTGCATGTTATCTTCACTCCATTTTCCCCTAAGACCTTGATTTCGTTCTTTAGACATAGTTAATCTGGAAATAAAAAATAAATGTAAGTACGCACCTACTCATGCTAAAATTTAATGAATCAATTAGAAAATTACATAAAATACCAAGCTACAATGTCACTGCTAGCAATATCGCCATGGCGATATTGCTCCACCATAAAATTGGCGATATTGCCAACAGTGATGTTAGTCACAATTTTGTTTGTTTACTAAACTTAAAAAACCTTTTGAAATAAAAACAGAATCATAATTAAATACCTTAAACCACACTGTCTGAAATAATAAATTGAAAAAACTACTTACCACGTTGTTTTTTGTGTTAGAATTGGACAAATCATCAACATCTCTTAGATCATCCTTCTTGAAAATATCGATTCGCCGGTAAAATCAACACGAGATTGAAGTTTGAGGTTATAATGCAACTGGCATTCAGTGTAGGTTATAAATTTATTATAAAATTATAATTCGTGGCGCCATCTGTCATAGAGAGGCAAAAAGTACTGCATGGCGATATTGCCAACATGGCGATATTGTATGCACCTACCTTACAACAAAATTTCAACAAAAGACAAATTCTACAAAGTAATGCATTAAAGTCATTGTATAAATATGATAAGCTCGCCAGTAGGTACCTATTCCATTTGAAGAAAAAAAATGAGCTATGTTTGTTTGAAATGTCTGGTTTTGTTTAAAGTATTGCGAACACCCTGTAGAGTCATCAGATTTTCATAGGACCATGAAGTAAATGTAAGTATGCACTAACAACCTGCAAAAGATTTAGCTTATAGAATTTTGAATGAATGAAATACGTTGGTTTTTGTTGAAACATGCAAACTGCGATTTTATGAAAAAAAAATTCAAATATTGCAAAAACGGTTGAGTTTTAGTATCGGTAATGTCTAACAAAAAGTATATTTAGGAGTTTAAGAACAATCCATTAATGTACTACTGAACTATAGGGACCGGGTACAAATTGAAATCCGCGACCCCTAGTGGCAGTTTTCATAAGAATTTATATAATAAACAATTGGACTTTTGACAAAATGCCAATATATTCTAACCTATGGACGAGACTATGCGCTATTTTTTTATTTTGTGTACTTGTCACTGGTATTTCAAAAAATGGAGTTGGAAATAAATGTTTGTTTCCAAAATATAAAATATATTCACCACGAAGCTGAAGACTGAATAGTTAGTTTTGTAGTACCTGTAGTTACCTTTCCAGATGGGGGGTCAAAATATAGTGAATAACCCGGTACCCATATGATTTCTAAATAAAAGAAAAAGGCAAATAATCGAACAACTAAAAATACCTGATCCAGTTAACACAACAAAAAATGATTATGCCAAATTTTAGACAATTTCGATTTGGCGTTTTCTTATAACTTTCAAACAAATTTTGAAAAAGCATCCAGTCAGGGGAAGGGGAAACATTTTCAAAAAATGTCAATACACGCGGCCCTGATAATAAAATATTTTTCCTTTTATCACGCACTCCTTACCGCTCACTGTAGAATCGTTGAAATATTGCAAAAAAAATCATATTTCAAATCAATGACATGTAATATTAACATTTGAGTTGTAGAGGGCGCTAATGCACTTGAAGCTCTTTAAATTTTGGCGCGTGAATAATCGAATGTAATTTTAACCTCTGGGCCCAGATTCCAATTGACAATACGATATCGGATTAGGCGCTTCCGGTCTCGATTTCGTTATCTCGATAGCAAATGGAATCCCCTAGCAGAAGTTTAGTTTGATGTGTGGCGTGTGGTTTCAAGACAAGCTGACGCAGAAACTTTTAAAAATATTCTCTAAGGGCCACTGAACGTTTTGGAAGATATTTTAGCTTATTCACTGTCCTTTGTTCATATTCAGTCATCTTTCCTTCTACTCATTTGAACGGTTTAAATCTATTGAAATTTACCGACAAAATTGAAAGCACTCCAAGTTCACTCGCGCCCTCTACAAAGTTTTGGGGAACTTAACTGGATATTTGCTGCCATTAACTTACTCTGATTTCATATTCAATTCGATGCCTTCTATGTTTACAAATTAAATTCCAAATATTTTCGTCAATCGTAGTTGGTACTCCAACGTATGCATCTAACTGCTCTAGAGCTTTCATGTATTCCACACATTCTTGCGTCATCGCAAAAGTCATTTCAATTGTCAGGACAGCTTTGGCCAATTCACTAAGTAAAGTTGCTGGTGATATTATGCGGAAGTTTATTTTTGGCCTTTTTCTAAAATATCCAATTTTCGTTAATTGTATCAATAGTAAGGCAGTCGTTTAAAGACTTGTAGGTCGCAAAAAATGACACTCTTCTGATTTGGAAAGACTCGAAAAACCTCGAAACCTTCGAACAATTTTCAGGATTTGGCAGATAAATAACTTCTAAAAAATATCCTACAGAAAAAATTCACGCTTTTAAATTAAACAATTTGGCCGTAACCTCAGCTCCGTAGATCCAATAGTTTCCGAGATGCAGCATTTCAAAAATTGACGCTGACGATTTTTAAAATTCAAAAGAATGCAATTTTTTGCGATTTTTATGTGGTCTACAGCGTCCAAAATTGGAGCTGGTTGTTAAACTTTGAGCCTTAAATTCTGTAGATTTACTTATAGAGTTTGAATGCTTGTTCCTGTATAATTGGCGGCAGATCTTGAAAATCTTTTCTATAAGCCTTCTCCAGTTGTTTTTCTTTGGTTGCCATCGACTGCATATTTATTTTACATTCTTGCAGTGCTTCATAAATTAGAATTGCATACGCTTGGTTTTCTTCTACTCGCCCTTCATGAAGCTTAATTTTTTGGCTGCAAAAAAAAAATGAAATTTAACTTCCAAGTGTCTTCATACTAACATTATGTCTTGCTCCATTTGGCTGATTTCAATCCGTTGTTTCTGTTTTATAATTTGCCTGTTCACGATCAAATTTTGCTGATTCATTCCTGAATCGACGTGAAACTTTAAGTTGTTGCTCTCAGATAGTTTTCGATTAAAAGTTTTTATTGAATCTCTTAAGTTGACCGATAATTTTTGAAACTCATCTTGCAAAAGACTTTTGTATTTGTGGCGATCGCTTTGAAGTTGTTGAGTTTTTTTTTCATAATTGCCTATTGCACGTACATCTTCTTTATTGTAGAATTCTGTTTTCTTCTGTAACTAAAAATATAATATAATTAACTATCCGATGATCGCATTGCTAAATTCCTACCATGCATTCAGGTTTAGGCACATTTTTTTTAAGCTCGTCCTCCCATTTAACTTCTAAAACACCATTCATCATATTCGTTAAAGCCGTATCCCGGAAGTCCTCTGCTAAATGCAATATTTTATTTTTTTCTTCTTCAGAATTTTTAGCATCCAAAATAGCTTGTTCGCTTGGTGGAATAAACGGCCGAACAGGAATTTCTTCATCGGCTACTTTAAGTATAGAAGTTTCTACATTCTCAATCTAAATATATTGATTTAGTTGGAATTAAACACCTGTATTTCTAGTTTTTACTCACCATTGCCCACTGAGGATCAACAATATCCATCTGAATTTTTTCATCAGAAAAATAATTAAATTCGGACACTATTTGTCTGAGCCTTGAATTTATTTTGCATATATTGTACATTACTGATTCTTTAAAAGCTCTCATGCTACAGAAGGACTTATTGTATTTTTCCTTTAATTTGATAACCTCCATCTTAAAAAAGTGCTAATCAAGCCACAAAAAAAAGAACTCAGATCTTTACCTCAGCAATTTCTTGTTGAAGCATAGACTGGTAAAAAGTGTTTATTTCTCGTTGGTTGTAATTTCCGATGGAAGCGTGGATATATATTCCTGAAACGGTACCATCAAGCGCTATCTGAGTATCTATTTGCTTTCCTGAGTCTTTAAGGTTACTAAAATTTTCTAGTAACGTAGGCACCAATCCGGAATAGTCGCTTTTTAGAGGTAACGGACGACGAGATTTAAGATCTTGCATTTCTCTGTTCAAAATTAAATAACAAGACTCTCACATTATAAGTAAACGCCGTAAACGCCAAACAATTTCCGATGCACGCAGAGATGATGTACGTCATCAATCGCCTGATAAATGACATTGACGTATCGAAATTGGGAAAAAATATGGGAAAAATGTTAAAAAACCAATGACATCATATTACACTTCACTATGGACCGGCCCTTGGCGGCAATTTATTGTGACTCCAACGCAGACAAGTATAGAGATAATGGTGGCACGACACAACGGAATGGGGTAGTATACAAGTGATTTTTCAATACTGCGTAGTGATATACTCGACGAATCGTACTATTTAGTGTAATCAGTTGCTTTGTAAAAACCGCAATACACTGGAATTTCGTTTTTTAAATTTCCTCTTAGCCCCGCCCTTACGTGAAAATAAAAGTTCGTGACGTAGTTAGTTTTTCCAATCTGGCAACACATCACGGTTTTGAGAACGCACAATTTGCACTGGCAATGACCGTCAAGAACGAAACGTCAAAGCTACTACATCAAACAACGTAAACAAATTACTGTGACAATGTCACATGTCACACGATTCACACGACACCACACGTCTTTAAACTGTTGGAGACAGCTGTCGTTTAGAGGCATTTTGAGCAGCGTTGCCAGATGGTCAGCGGCTTGAATACTATTGGTCGCCGCTGTGGCGCTAAATTCAAATTACAGTTTGTTTTTCTCTGACTAATTCTATAGACACTATGCTGGAAAATTATTTAGTATCCCACTATACCATCACCATTTAGCCTAAAGAATAATGTCGAGCAGTTTTTTCACTGATTTTCATACATAGTATACCTATTACCCCATTTGACGTGCTTGTTGCTTGTGTCGCTTGTGTTAAGCAAGTTGTCAACGTCTGTGTCAACGTTTATTTATTGCGGTCGGTTTAATTTCGTTTTTTTTTTTTTTTAAATATCACTCCCGGATCTGATAGACTGGGCGTTAGATGGATATGAGTATGCAAAATGTGAGGACCGGCAAAAATGCTCAAATTCGTATTCCTGTGATCATAAAGAATGGGAAAGTACATCTTGCCAGCATCTGGAGTGGTACCTAATTTTCCTGCCATCCCTCAATGCAAAGTTATATGGAAAATATCATAATTTCAAGTCATTTCACAATAATTCCTATTGATTGTACCTAAGGATTTCTTTTCAAGCACACAAAATAAATTACCTACCACTTGTTGGATATCTTTGCAATTCTGCTCCAAAATATACACAAGTAAAAGAAGACTGCGAGATGTACAGGGTCATCCAACGACGACTGAACAGGGGCTTATTTTTGACCTTCCCTGTTCCGTGTAGTTTTGAAAAAATTCAAAATAGCCAATTGGCATATTTTTTTCTGGAGAATTCAAAAATGGTACAAAAAAAATCATTTGAACCAAAAACCAAAGAGTTACACCATGGATGAACTGGTTTTCAAGTGAAACACCCTGTTTTTGTATGATTTTTGGAAAAGTCGCATTTTTTACATCCATTCTGTTGAAAATATTCCATATTCCGCTGTTTTTATTTTATTTTCATGTTTTATGCCTAATAATTTTAGCTTTTCCTTTTCAATTTAATAGGTTCATAGGTGATAGAGGTGTAATCACCTTTTGTTCAAAGTCAGAAGAAATTTGACATATTTTGTCGCCATCACAGATGTATTGAACAGGTGAAGCTAAAATTATTAAGGATAAAACATTAAAATAAAATAAAAATAGGTATCGGAATATCAAATATTTTCAAAGGAATAGATGTTAAAAATGCGACTTTTCCAGAAATTATATAATAAACAGGGTTTTTTCCACTTGAAAAACAGTTCCTCCATGGCGTAACTCTTTAGTTTTTAGTTCAAATGATTTTTTGGTACCATTTTTGAATTATCCAGAGAAAAATATGCCAATTGGCTATTTTGAATTTTTTCAAAACTACAGGAACGGGGAAGGTCTAAAATAAGCCCCTGTTCAGTCGTCGTTGGATGACCCTGTACAACTCGCAGTCTTCTTTTACTTGTGTATATTTTGGAGCAGAATTGCAAAGTGGTAGGTAATTATTTTGATGGGTTGAAAAGAATGCCTTAGGTACAATCAATAGGAATTATTGCGGAATGACTTGAAATTGTGATATTTTCCATATAACTTTGCATTGGGGGATGGCAGGAAAGTTAGGGACCACTCCAGCTGCTGGCAAGATGTACTTTCCCATTCTTTAGGACCATAGGAATATGGTGGTAGACGCTTTTTATTCATTGGGCGTCGACCGGTGAGATAAAACCATGCCAGAATTGAGTAGCGCTAAGTGGTATCACCACGTTCCGCTACTGCGCTGGCAGTCCGGTTCCAACAATGAGTAACAGATAGCATGATGGCGCCTCCAGGATCAAAATATTCCGGAGGTAAAATACCCGACCACTCGGATCTCCGGGCGTCGGGTGATCCTGGGGGTCCTTCATGCAAAGATATAAAGAGAAGATCAAAAACTCAACTCAGAATTGATTTTAGCAATATAAGAGGAATAAGTACAAATATGAATTCAGTTCACCAACATCTTGAAGAACAAAGACCTGACATCCTTGTTCTCACTGAAACTAAAATCAGTTCTGCAACACCTATTGTGAACTATCTTTATCCCGGCTATGACCTACACCATCGATTTCGACATAATTTTGGGATCTGTGTGTACATTAAAAATGACCTTTCATGTCATCGAGAGGAGAAGCTAGAACCAGCGAACCTTGATATCATATGGCTAAAATTCACCTCAAAGTCATCGACCAAGTTTATCTGCTCCCTCTACCGACCGCCAAGTAACACCGATTACCAAAACTTTTTCGCGACATTATCCGAAAGCTGTGATAGTATACAGTCAAACTATCCACAGGCGGAAATTGTCTTTTTAAGCGATTTCAACGTCCACAATATACCCTGGCTGAAACACCACAACAAAACAGATAACGAAGGCAGAGAAGCAGAAGCTTTTGCCATAAGTTGTGGTCTAACGCAGCTTGTCGATGAACCTACCCGTATATCAGAAAGGGGCGAATTTGCAGCGCTTTTAGACTTGTTCCTAACCACCAATCCTGACTCGTACACAATTCAATTAGATGCTCCACTTGGTTCGTCCGATCATAAACTTATAATAACAAAGTGCGAAATGCTCATCCCACCAAGCCTACAACCACTTCCTCGTAAAATGTGGCACTATAAATCGGCAAAATGGAATGACCTAATACAGTATTACCTGGATTTTCCATGGCAAGAGGTTTGCTTTAAAACAGCTGATCCCACTATTTGCTGTAATGAAATAACATAAGTAATCTTATCTGGAATGGACGCATGTATCCCACATACAACTAAACGTAGAGCTAATGCAAAACCTTGGTTCAACAGCCAGTGTCAAACGGCTGCACAGAAAAAACACAGAGCATATAACCTTTGGAAACGACAACAAACCGCTCAAAACCACACAGAATTTATAGAAGCCAGAAATAGTTGCAAAATTACTATTGACTCCGCTAAAGAAACATACAATCAAAGAATAAAAAACAGGTTGCTGAATTGTCCAAGTAGTTCTAGGTCTTTTTGGTCTCTTGCAAAAGCTGTTGGATCTAACTTCACCGAGTCATCCATACCACCACTTACAGATAAAAATAATCACTTAGCCACAACATCAGAGGAAAAAGCCAATATGCTTGCCCAAATGTTTTCCTCCAACTCCAACCTAACAGTGCCAAACGGAAAAACTCCACCGTTCATTGAAAGGGTTTCCCATAGTATGCCAGAGGTACCCTTTTGTCACAGAGAAATACGAAAATCCCTAAAAAAGCTGGATATGTACAAACAAAGCAATGGGTCCGGATGGCATTCCCGCAATAGTACTCAAAAATTGCGCCAACGAACTCACCCCAACTTTCGCAAAATTATTCAATTTGTCTTACAGGCAAGGAGTATATCCATCATCATGGAAGTCTGCCGCAGTACAACCCATTCCAAAGAAAGGAAAAAAGACAGATCCGTTAAACTATAGACCAATTGCTCTACTTCCGGTGATATCAAAAGTAATGGAAAGAGTTGTGAACAATCACCTAACCAAGTACTTGGAAAAGTACAAAATTATCAACGATAAGCAATACGGATTTCGAAAATATAGGTCAACTGGCGATTTACTTACATACGTCACTCACTTATGGCAAAAAGCGATTGAGTTGCGGGGTGAAACAAGAACAATTGCCTTAGATATATCTAAAGCATTCGACAAAGTTTGGCATGAAAATCTGCTCAACAAGCTCAAAGCAATGGGATTATCGCCGAAACTTTGCACTTGGTTTGAAAGTTACCTAAAGGACAGATCCATTTATGTTGCACTGGATGGCCAGAACTCCAACTCTTACCAAATAAATGCTGGTGTGCCACAGGGAGCAATCCTTTCGCCCTCTTTTCCTGATTTACATAAATGACCTCATAGATAAAACAGTAAATCCACTTTATTGCTTTGCAGACGATGGCAATGTAGTCTCCTCACTCATACCACCCACAGGTCTTTCCGCACGTGAATTCCATCATCTTAGACTAACTCAAATATCGCAGATAAATAACGACCTGGAGATAATGGAGGACTGAGGTAACAAAAACCTTGTACAGTTCAACGCGCAGAAAACCCAAGCAGCTCTGTTTTCAAAAAAGACCAGCACCGGTGAGCCAAACATCATGCTATCTGGAAGTGCTGTCACATTACAGAGTCAGTTGAACATCTTGGGGGTTACTGCAGAGACCAACATGTCTTGGCACAGTCACGTGGCAGATATTGCTAAAAGGGCCTCCCAAAAGCTGGGGGTGCTATTTCGTACAAGACATCTGTACACACCAAGCCAATTGCTGACACTCTACAAAGCCCAGATTCGACCAACTATGGAGTACTGCTCACATATATGGAGTGCAGCACCCAAACATACCTTAATGCTTTTGAATA